CATTTTCAAGACCTGCAGTGCTGCACTCCTGCCAGCCAGTGCCAGCACGGTGGCGGAGCTGCCACCTCTGAGCCGGGTGCCGCAGAGGGAGCTGGCAGCTGAGCTGCCTTCTGGGCTGCCTGAGCTGAGCTGAGCAGCCCAGCATTGCTGCAGCAACTGCCAGTGCCTTGGCAAGCTGAGCCTGAGAGAGCTGGGGTGGATGCACCCTATGCACTGTAGCATCCAGCTGGCTGGAGGATCCCACGTGTCAAAAAGTTGGCTGCACAGTATTAAAAAAAAAAAATTCAATACCTGTTACATTATTTTCCTTCTATGTTTGCCTTATTCAATATTCTTTTGTCATGTCACCTCTACTAAAAAAAAAAAAAAAGCAGATGAGAAGCAGCATGTTGGAACAAGCACATAAAAGTGGTTTGGTCTCAACTTATTTGAAAGCTTTATCTCATGTTCCAGGTAAATCTGTTAGGCAGCATTATTCCAACAAGGTGTGACCAGAATTTTTATAATGTACAAAACATTTCCTTCCGATTTATGTGCTCTCTCTTTACAGTCTGTATGTTGTGCATATCACAAACTGGTGTGACACAGACTCAAATGTTCTGAGACTTGTGTTGGTTTTTTTCATTTTTCTTCCCCCAGTAAAGAAGTCACAGACAAAACTAGATACTCATATCCAATCCACATTCAGACATAAATAACTTTAAAATCTGGTTCTATCATTCTATCATTTTACACATCTTATAATGCAAAACAGATATTTACATGCCTGAAATCTATTTAGACTGCTTTATTACTCAGAGGAAAAAATACTGGAAACTACCACTAGCCTATTGACAATTAAAAAAAAAAATTACCCTTGGCATCCTCAGAAGCCACCTCCACTGCAGGTGAAAATAGATAGACAGGATGTGGCTTGGCAGTGGAGTAAGGTCTAAGATTCAGTAGGGAAAATCTCTGGAATTTTAACTCTGAGCAGGCATCCAGTAAGGTCTCTGCTAGAGACACACTCCATTGACTTACATGCATATTTCAGTGCTTTTCTAAATCAGAATTTCCTCAAAGGGCTGTATGCTGAGATATGTTTCACTATTTAGAGTAAGACCCAAATCTTACAGAGTAAAGGCAAAATCCATTCCTGATGTGAACTGGGGTTATGCTGGAGACAAATTTGATACAACTGACCTGTTTGGTTTTTCTCTCTTACAGGTGGAAAATGCAGAGGCTTAAGGAGTACACCTTTGTCAACATGCAACAGCAGCACAGCTGGCAAGCAGAATTGCACGAGTCTCGCTATCTTTCACCCAAGGCTTATTCTAGAAACCTCTTCCTCCCTCCCCCATCAACTGCAACAAATGTTTTGCTTGAGGAAGGAGCAAGACCCAAAAGAGCTGCTCTCTAACTTGTGTGGCAATATCCAATCTGAGTGTTACTATCAGCTTTTGGAAACTGACTGTATAGAAAACACAGCTGATGTTTGCATATTTTAATTTTAAACATCTCTGCTTGGCATACGGATGGAACCTAATAAGGCGCTTTGTTTCTGCCTCATGAATAAATTCAGCCTGCTAACAGATTTGGATAAAGCATTTTGATTCCAACTAATAAATTTGTTTTCTGTACAAGCAAAACAACTTTTGGAAGCAAAGTCAAAAGTTCTTTAGCTTGCCTGAGAGGTACTTCTATAATATCTATAAGGAATAGACCTTTTATTTTTATAATCCACTTGTTCCACCCATGTCTTTTAAATCAATCAGATAAATTCACCTTGTTTTTCAATGCCCTGAATCCTGATAGCTCTGCACACTTGATAGGTAATTTAATCATTGTTGGTGTGGATGAACACAAGCTCAAATTAGCTTCTGAAAGGCTTAGTTGTCCCGTAGATAGCTCTGCCTTTCCACTTTTATGCAGGAACTGAGCTTCACCAACTGGTTAGCTAGAGGTGTCATTAAAAATTTACAGAAAGAAACAAAGGTGTGCTCCAGTGTCTCTCCTTACCCTTTCTACTGTTACTCTGGCAAACAAAAGGTATGGAACCTGCTTCATGAATAATGGGTCATGTAATATGCATAATGCATTTTTAATGGCACACAGTAATAACATTGAGAGAGATATTTCCAATCTTCAGACTTGCTCCACAGCCTCTCAGTAGCCTGTTCTGATTCTCCCCAGATAAATCTTCTTTTCCTCTTCTTCATTTCAATTCTCCACCTTAAAGCCATTACTTTTCTCCACAGGTAGCTGCATTTCACCCAAACCAGCAACTGCACTCATGCAAACAGGGCTGGGGACATGGGAACACCCTCCCATGCAGCAACACACAAACATTTCAGGGGGTTTGGATCTGAGCTGCAGCCCAACAGTTGTGCCCTGAGACACCACTAACTGCAACATGCTCTGGGAGGAGACACACTTAAACCAATAAAACACCTGTGCGTTTCTTCCCATGAAGAAGAATATTTTTGCCCCCTGTCCTGTGTCCATACTGCCTCCCTGGCCATCCACCCCACCCTGTGGGCAGCACTAGACTCAAACCACACTGGTTGCACTGTTTGGAAATAGGATGCTCCAAAGTGCTCCAAAGGGGCAAGCACACATTGCTATTGTACTTTTAAAGGTAAATACCAACAAGTGAGCCCGCTCAGGGCCTGCTGGAGCAAGGCCTGCCCAGAGGGAGGAAGGAAGGAGGCTGTGCCTGGCAGGAAAGGTCCTCCTGAGGGCAGAGGGACTGGGGGCAACAGCTGCACCCCAGCCAACCCATACCCAGAACCACTGGCCAGCACTCACTCCATCCACAACAACAGCTTCCATGTAAAATAAATACTGAGCATCACCCTGGGGCAGCCCCAAGCCGGCCTGTGCCACCTCCCCTGGCCTGGGTGGGACCCAGGGCATCACAGGCCTTCCACATAACCACCGAGTTTCCTGCACTGACCTTCCTCATTAATTAATCCAGCATTATGGGTCTAATGTGGTCTTCAGAGCACCTGTCACCTCCTGCGATGCCTGTGCCACATCCCTTCAGCCTGGTTGCTGTGATTGTGGCCGCGTTTCAGCTCAGTGAGAGCTCGGCCTGCGACACCCGGCCTGGGCACCCCAGGGGCAGAGCGCAGTCCGAGCGGGTGAGCCCTGAGGGAACACGGCCACAGCCTGCCAGGGCAGCCCTGAGGGGACACGGCCACAGCCTGCCGGGACAGCCCCGTGAGGACACGGCCACAGCCACAGCCTGCCGGGGCAGCCCTGAGGGGACACGGCCACAGCCTGCCGGGACAGCCCCGTGAGGACACGGCCACAGCCACAGCCTGCCGGGGCAGCCCTGAGGGGACACGGCCACAGCCACAGCCTGCTGGGGCAGCCCTGAGGGGGACACGGCCACAGCCTGCCGGGACAGCCCCGTGAGGACACGGCCACAGCCACAGCCTGCCGGGGCAGCCCTGAGGGGACACGGCCACAGCCACAGCCTGCCGGGGCAGCCCCTTGGGGAGCCAACCGAAGTTCTCAAGGGTGGCAGAAAGAAGCAGCACAGGGAGGACCTCCTTGGCACCATGGCAGGTGAGTTCCCCGGCCTCGGGCGGGAACGGCACCTCAGGGCTGGGCCAGCCCAGCAGGGCACAGGGCGACTCTGCTCACTGGGTTTGTCCAGAAAAAATGTACAAAGCTGGAAACATGACTATATATATACCCGTGTGGGCACACAGGATTACTTGCACATCTAAAAAGTCAGGCTGCCATGCTGTGCTCTGTTGGGAAAAGGACAAGGGACTCCTCCATCATCCGCCTGCTTCTCTTTTGTATGGGCTGCAACTGCCAGATGGAGCCAGCCCTGCTGACAAGGCAGGCAAAAGGCCATATTGTGAGTCCCAACAGGCTTAAGTATAAATGATGCACCTGCTGCTCAGGTGTCCCTGCAAACTCCTAGGCACAGATATTTAATCTTGTGGGAGACATTCAAGTTGCTCCTGGGCTAAGCAGGGACTTCTGGCTGTCTACATTTCCAAAACAAAGCCTTAAAACTGCAGTTTCCCCCCTAAATCCTTTTATAGTGATAGTCCAAGCCATGGTATACCCTTTGTCCTCAAAAGTGTGAATGTTTATCTGAAATCAGCAGGAATTGAACAAATAAATATGGCAGTTGTGTTTTTTAATCACTACAGCCCTTGTGCCTGCATTTCCTCCTTGGATTCCCTGACAGTCACTGTGGTGTATTGTTGTAATGACTGACAGTCACAAATGTGCAGTTACATATGAAATAATAATCACTCTGGACCATCCTCAATACTTTATTAACTTAAAACATTGTTCTAATAAATATGTATCAAGAAATGTAAGACACTCCATAAAATCTAAATAAGGACATTTACAAACTTGTCAACAAAGTAAAAACAGGTTTTTTTTTTTAACTGAGGTACATGCAGATATGTTAAGGCAAATTAAGTAAATTATACTTTTATAGTAAGTCCTGCCCACCTCAGAAAGTTTCCCTTTAAAAATTAAAAAACCAAAAACAAATATACAACTGATGGTATTGAGTAGCTATTTTCCAGTTATTAGAACAAGCCCAGAGTGTAGAAGCCAGTAATGGTTCTGGACAGAAAGTCTGTGCTTCCCTGGTGCTCCTGCCCTCCTCAGGCAGGTTCACTTGTTGGATTGGTTTCTAGTTCTAAGGCATAATCCTGTGCTTTGGCTTTTCCACTGGTCTTTCACAAGCTTCCTTCTCCCTAGTGGATGTAGGAAGAAGTAACCCTCCATGCTTCAAACACACTGGCAGTCGGGCCTTGCACAGAGAGAGATGGCTCAGGGAGGATAAAAAGGACCTCTCTGTAACTGTTAATGCAGCTCCTGATTTGCACCAGAATAAGTGAGAGCAGGATCAGACCCAAGCTGGTACCTTTGGTTAAAAACCAGCAAGATGTCAGTCCTGCACAGTCCTGATCCTCCAGGTTTTCCTGACAGGAAGTCATCCAAGAGTGAACCCATTCAGCACTGAACTCAACCGGGGCAGGTGCTGATGCCTCTCTGTCATTACCCCATGTAAACACTGTTATACCCATGTTTTCCTGCCAGCTGATTCAAGCTACTGAAAACTTGAAGGGGTTCATCATGGCCATGGGAGAAATATTTTCCAGCTTGCAGATATTTGATAGCTTATCCATCTTTGGAGTATTAGGCTTTATATCTAAAAGGCTTGTATTTCAGTGTTATTTCAGAAACAACAAGGGAAAGAGAAAGAGAGAAACCCCAGCCTTTACTTTCCCCCTTCACAGTCATTCAGGCTGAGCTGTCAACACATGGCTCTGTCCTCTTCTTTCCTCTTTGAGCTCCTGTTCAGAAAGGTAATGCCAGGGTCCATGTTCAAGACAGGGTCCAGCAGGGAAGCCAAGGGAGTCTGTTCTCATAGTGTTGTAGCGCTTTCCGTACTGGAGTTGGGACTCATTTCAGGCCATGCTGTGTCTCCCGGTGTCTCCGTAAATCCACCTTTCGTTGGAAGCCTTTGCCACACAGATCGCAGCCAAAGGGCTTGAAGCCTGTGTGCTTCCGACTGTGGGTGATGAGGTTGGAGCTTTGACTAAAGGCTTTTCCACACACCTGGCACTTATGAGGCTTCTCACCTGCAAGCAGAAGGTGGGAGAGAGAGAGAGGCTGTGAAAGAGGCAAGATGCTGACTATGTGAGACCACAGCAAATATACACTGGTACTTAAAGCTTATCAAAGAGATTTTTGTGTGATTACCTAAGTCATTTTTACAAAAAGACGTGGAGTTGGGAGCCCAAGACAGAGCATTAGCTGAGCAGGCCTGGACTTGGGTGCACCTCCATCAGCTCAGCACAGTCCTGAGAGTAGCCTGAAGCACAGAGTGCTCTCAGGACACCACAACTTGTGAATGTATTTGTCTGCATGGGCTCTGTGAAGTTTAAACTGGCTTTGTGTCCTAGGGATATGAGGAACTCCTAGAAAAGTGATGAATGCCTGACATTGATTACTATACCATCAGCATGAAGGCAGGTGAAATAGGTAGATAGAAGTTGTTAAAACAAACCCAGTGATCTGGGGTCTGTCCCCAAGGGAGGTATGAGGGCCATTAAGTGAACCCTGAAGGGCAGGGTTCATCCAGGGTTCTCTCTGTTCCCTACACTGCAATGCTAGCAGTCAGAGCCCTGAAGTTCTCCTGCAGGCAGATAATGTAAATGGGAATAAATACAGCCTCTGGAACTTCTACACAGGAGTCAGTGACAAAACTCCATGGGAGCAGGATCCAATTATATTTTCCTACTGTTTATTATCAAATAACAAATAAAAGGGAACCCAACCACAATAACAAGCCGGATTTTCAGAGTGGCTTTGCACCTGCAAAGCCCACTGGCTTCAGCTGGGAACAACAAACTCTTTGGGTGTTTGAAGATCAGATTCTTAGAATCAAAAAAAATAATGCAAAGTGTGCTTAAGGCTCATTTCACAAGTATATGGTGCATATGAAAGGAATCCCTCATTCAGTTAAAGACCTGCTTTTATATTAGCAATTTAAAGGCCCGGGCACGGTTTCTGATCTTACAAGAAAATAATCTGACTTAGAATTTGTCTGAAATTCTGCTTAATCAAGCATAATTTGAAAAAGTTACTAAGGAGATACTTCTTGTATTATTTCATAAATAGTTCATTTTCATCCAGCAACATTCAGTGAAAAATCTTTATAAGTAACATTTATTATTCACAATTTGTCACCTAGAAAAGTCACAGCCAAGCAGTGCTACATATAGTGCCATTTCTCTACATATTTGCCCTTTTTAGGCTTCACCCTTTATATCTGCTAGTGGCCACTATCAGGAAAAAGGATTTTGATCATCTGTACCGTACATTTGACCAATACAACTGATATTTCATGTCTACAGGTTCTTCCATATCTTACACATTCATTTCCCTCTACTTCAAGTGAACCGTGCAGGTCTGAAAAGCAAGATGTTCTTTTAATGATTTCTGATAAACCTGACTTCTCACTGAATGATACTTTTGAAACAATTTCCTTTGGTGATTCACCTGCACTTTATATTAGTTTCCATGTTTATTAGTAACAGCGAAACTTGAGAACTCTGCACCTCTCCTTCTATTCGGTATCAAGCTGTAGCCATTTCTCAGAAAGTCCAGGTGGAAGTGCAGACAATCTCTGAACAAATATTTAGACTAAGACCTAGGCCCTCTAGTTTAGTGTTTGATCTAGAGGAGGAGACTCCTGTTGTTCCTATTGTAAATTGGTAGATCCTGCAAAAAGCAATGCTGTAATCAAATTCACCTGTCATTTTCCCGGGACCTCAGCTGTAAATCAAGGCCACATGAATATAATACTCTACAAATCATCTTACACAAAAGCCCTGTGAATAAACATTGGTGGATCCTATTAAGGGAACTGATTGGATTGCGAGGATTTTTGTAGGTTATTTTGCAGCTGCTGTCCGTTAAACTTCCTCCAGATCACCCTGCTTTGCCCAAGTACAGCTCAGATAGCATGAACAGCAGCAGGACAGTGAGAGGCATAGGGAGGTGTGCGTGCTGTCCCAGCTGAGGAGGAATGGGCTGCTGCAGAGAAACCTCTGAGACCTGCCCTCGTGCTGGGGCTGACACTAGCAGTTGCAGGGCTGACCTGTGTGAATGAAGGTGTGTTTCTTCATATCAGATTTCTGGTGGAACCGCTTCCCACAGTACTGGCACGGATAGGGTCGGGTGTCTGAGTGGATGAGCAGGTGGGTGGAGAGAGTAGAAGATCTCTTAAAACTCTTGCCACAAATCTTACAATCAAAGCTGCGTTCCTGCAGAGAGATGAGCCCAGACACACACACATCACACCAACGATCTCATCAGCAACAAACTGCCCAGCAGCACATGAGTGTTGCCCCTTCTGCATTAGCAAGAACTTACACTTCTCCAGAGAGCTGGACTGGCCTACACAGATAACACTGGCTTGATAGCAGCACCACATGATAAAAACGATAATACATCTTCTCCTAGTGCTGTGCACTACTAAAATGTAATTGAACAGCTCTTCCTGCTGGCAGGAATGGCCAGGTGGGAGCAACCCCAATGGACTAGGCAGAGTCTGCCAACACGCTTTATCAGAGGCCTGAGACGCAATCACTCTACTGGGAAGCCCAACAGCTGCAGCACTGTTCAGAGGCCACCTCTCCACTGTACACAGGAAAGTGGGTGCCAAGGGCTGCTTGGGTCTCTTGGGAAATCCCTCTGGTAGACTGAGTTCTGGCATGGTAACAACTAACTGCTTTTTTTAGTTACATTAAAATTCAAGTGGAAGGTATGTAGAGCACCTGGGACAAACAGCTTTTCAGCTTACTACTTTAACATATAAATAAAAACAAATATATTAAGATCTTACTGTCTTTCACCTCTCCCTCACACACTCCTCTCCATCAGTTTCTTATACCACATTTCATCTCTTCTTTACATCCCTCAACTTCCATTGCACCTTCCTCTTCCTTCTTTGCTTTCTTCAATGCTTTCACAGAATCACCTTCTTTGTTTGGCTTTTATGCATTCTCCCTAAAATGCTGTCCCCTTCATGGACACATTATGCAGTGCTGCTCTTTTCACCATTGTTTCATGGATAATGAGATATCTCCCTTCATTGTGTGCTCTGCTGGTTGCACACTCACAAAATTATAAAGAGTAAAAAAACATTACTGTAACTCTATCCTCCAAAAGTCAATCTGAAGAAGGAAGATTTGCTGGGTCAGGTGGGTGGGGAAGGAGAAATATGGCATGGTATCAGCAGGTGGAAAATGTTACAAGTCCTCCTACCAAAATTAACCACTATATTCTTTTGGTGTGTGACTCAGTGTGTTGAGACGGGTGAAGTCAGTGCCCTATACCTGAATGGTCGTTTAGATGTTCCCTGCACTGACAAAAATTACTACAAACAAGGGAAGACTCACTTCTTTGTGGGAGGGAGGAGAAAGAATGAGGAGTGCTGCATCAGAAGAAATCACACTGAGTTGCTTTAGCTGTTAAAAAAATAGCCAACGTCTGCATTACAACTTCCATCTCTGAGAGTGAACATTTATTATTTTCTGTTACTTCTTGAGTGCCACAAGTGCACATTGCTTAATACGGACTATGCATGCAAGGTCTGAAGAATAGAAACAAAGCCTGTGTTCTTTAATTATCTGATAGCTCCTCTGCACACTAACCAGCCACCCTTTCCTCTGATTGTCACCATATTCTTCACCTTCAACTGCCCACTGCAGCTCTCTCACATTCTCTTCCCCTCCTCAGTATAGGTCCCTGCCTCCTTGCCCTGTATTTGCCTTCATGGCTTCCCCAGCCAGCAGAATAGAGCAGCTGGCCCTGGCCCCCAGCCGTCCATCCTGGCAGCCTGCCTGCTCTCACCTGCGAGTGCACGGCCTTGTGCTGCTCCAGGCTGACTGCATGGCCGAAGGTCTTGCCACACATGTCACAGGCAAAGGGCCTCGTGCCACTGTGTGAGCGGCGCACGTGTACCTCAAGGCCATGCGGTGTGGAGAAGACCTGAGGAAACAGAGTACACAGCGTCAAGGTTGCCAGGGAGAAAGGGCTGGGGGGAGTCATGTCCAGTGTGGGAGAAAGGGATCCCTACCTTGCTGCACTTGACACACTTGTAAGAGCCAGCGCTGATGAGCAGTGGGCGGCACAGAAGGTCAGACTCCACTTTGATGCCACCTGGCCCCTTCTCCTGCTGCAGTCCAGGCTGCGTTTCGGCATAGAGTCCAGGAGCTGCTGCTGGTGGCCGCTCAAACAGCCCCGGGCCCGGGGAGCTGAAGTCACCATACAGTCCCAGGGAAGAGCTGCACTCGGCACCGTAGAGGGCGGGCTCCGAGCCTCGGTCGCAGAAGAGCCCCAGGGCTGAGGTCCGCTCCAGCGTCGGGCAGGGCCTGTAGCTTTGCACAAGGTGCCTGAGCTCGGAGCCACCCAGGCTGTTCCACATGTAGGGTTTGAAGGGGACCGAGAAAGGGGGTGCTTCATCTAGGGATGGACACACAGATCTCTCCGAGGCTGTGGAAACACAAGGGCATGGGAATTGGTGCGCTTCACAATCCACACTATAATGAGGCAGAACAGTCTCAGCACCCAGGCTTATGTCCAGAGCCTGACCCCTGTACTGCACTTTGAGGCTGCCCTTTCATCTCAATGGGAGGACATTTTATATTGCATATTACAATCTGAGTGTCCAGTACTAATTCCTTACCCAATTATTACTCCAGCCAAATTATTAAAAGCCAACATCAATTTTGTCTGCCTCCATCTCTGGATATCTCGTGTGTACACACTGATCTGACTAGTGAGACTCTGAACAACTCAGTCGGCAACTTCCTACAGTTTTATCTGCAGCTTCTTTGAAACATGTATCTACTGTATTCTAAGATGGACATCAAAGCTGACAGTCCACATGTTTAAGCTCTGATGGAGATCACACACACACACACACACACAGGTGTGTGTATATATATATGTGTGTGTGTGTGTCTGTGCGAATATAACATTACAGAGGTGCCAGGAAGAGCAAATGTGCTGAAATTTACCTGTTCAACAAAATGAAAAAACTTGTTGCACAATTTAATGCCCAAATCTAGTCTCTCAACTTAATGCCACAACTGACCATAACTATACTGCAGAATAACTTAAATAATGAACAACTTCTGAGGTGCTTGCATGTTATGCTTCACTTTTTCAGAAAAAAAAAATACTTCTCATCTGAAAGAAAATCATAGTTGTTTCAGATTGCTCTGAGGTTCCCCATATAAAGAAATCGAGTCCAAAACACAGTGCTTTGTAAAATCATTGGGATGGGCCACATCAAAACCTGAAGACACAAACCCATTTTCCTAGCAGTCGTAATCAAAGCAAATTTCCACCAGGGCAAACTTAAACGGCTTCAGCAGGCTCTAAGAGGTTTGCCTTCAGCAGTGGCATCTGACCAATGCAGTGGGCACATGAGTCACACTTGGGGAGCCGAGTCTGATACAACGGCAGGAGCACAGCTTTTGAGAGAGGTCTCTAAAGGCACAACTGCTCAAGGAGCCTCACATGGAGGAAAGCACAACTGGGATGGAACATGAGGCACCAGACCCCAACAGTGTCTGCCAGAGATGCTAATTAATGCCTGAGGTGCACTGCTTTCACTCCTTATCATAACAGGCAGCAGCACTGGGAGAGTCAAATGTCTCCACTGGACAAGTTTTAGTGAGGCAAGGAAGAGATGAATCAATTAACTACTGAAATGCTGATGTCTTCATGGAGATAACTGGCTTCCCTTATAACTTGGGCTTCCAGAGTAACCTCCTTTAACCAGAAACTTGTCCACCCACAATGAATCTCTTACTTATTCATGTCAGGTCCCACGGCTTTTTCAGCCTTTGGCAAACCAAGATAAATGGGGGTGGACTAGGCAAAGAAGGCACGATGTGTTAGGCTATCCACTTGGATAGGCAAATGGCCACCGAGGGGTTACAGAAATTCCTACAGGCAGTAGGAAATGAGGTTAAAATTGAGCTTTGAATGACTTGACTTTTTCCTATCTTTTACATAATTTCAGATGTTAACAGTCTCAAATTCTTCCATTGAAATTAGCAATCTTTTGGTTGGAAATATCTGCACAAATACCAGCTGGGACATTTGAAGAGAGTGATGAAATCAAATTAGTTGACATGGTGTTCAGCATGATTTTTCCTGTTCTGCACTGACTGCAAAGTTGTGGTCAGCATCACATCATCTATCTTATGTCTTTGCAACCAGTTTCAGTGTTGCCATCTCACATGATTTTATCACAAAATTCAAACCTATCTTAAAGTCCCAGCTCTTGAAATGGCATGATTTCGTCAGGCCTTCAGCTCTGCTTTTGTTTGTTCTTGTTATAAATTTATTTTTTCCTTTTAAAGTCAACTTGTAGCTCAAACTGTAAGAAAAGCATGAAAACATAAACCCTCAATATTTCAACACTAGAACTGAATATCCATAAGGTATTACTTACAATCTTGATTTCTGAGCCAGCTCATTGAGTGAGAGGGAAGGCTGACCTGATTTTTGAGCCCTTGGAATTGGCAATACAGTATACAATGAACATTGCACCACAGATCAGTTTGCGTGCAATGTTCCTTCCATCACCTCACATGCTTTGGAGCCCTCTCAAGCACAAATGCAGGGTTATTTCCTCACAGTATACTCAAACTATCTGAGCTCAGTGGCAAAGCAACCTCCAAACTCTGCTCTCCTACACTGCAGGGCATTTCTGCATGTGCCTCTTCTCCACAGCATCTAGGGGGGAGCAGAGACATAGAGAAATATTCTCCCTCATTTTCCTAGAAATTCTGTGCAGCCGTTATAGAGACTACTTCTGGGAAAAAAAAAACCAAAAACAAAACAAAATCAGTGCTTGTTTTTGAAGGCAAGACAAACTCAACCTTAAACGGTTGGGAACAGATTGATACGCACAGCAAAAAAAGATTGGAGCATCCTCTTACACAAAACACCACATTTTCTGCACAACTCCATTATACCCAGGAAAAGTCTTTCTCCTTCTGCAGCATCAACAGGCTCATCAGGAGCTACTACTACTGCTGCACTGAGCTGCCATGCACCTTCTGCATACGCACATGTGTGCGATTAGACACATGTAGAAAGTGAGATTAAATAAAGTGATTTGCACTGGTGGAGTTAACAGCTATTATATCTGTATGTTGTATGACTGCCTACATCAGCAGCACAGCACTCCAAACCAAAGTGAAATAAATACAGCTTTCACTGCATATTGAATTGCAACCTGCACCTATGTTCACTTCCAGAGATACAGGAGTGGTAGTACTACTCACCACGCACACCTTCAAGCGTGATTGAGAACCATCATTTCTCACCTGCTCTGCCTGGCAAAGCACAAAAATTGTGCCCCATCCAAACACAATTGTAGGAATGCAGTCTCTCTCCACTGCACGTTGCAGAAGTGACCTAGACACAAATTCCAGCTTCACACTGAGTCTAAGAAAGCAGCTGGAAGGCAGAGGGGCTAGAGAAGGTGAGCTGTGGGAGGAAGCCCAACTATCTAATCCTGTTGCCACCGCCTTCATCATTAATATAACAGCACGTCTCTCAAGGCACTGAGATTCATTTAATAAAGCTCTTACGTGCTTGGAGTCCTATACATTCCCAAACCTCCTTTGAATGGGATCAGGCAGCCCCAGGATTGCCCATCCCACCCTGAAGAATCTTGATCTGGGGACATCGTCCTCATTTTGTAAAGTTATCTTCCCTGGACAGCCTGATGGTTGGCCAAAAGCTGATGAATGTGAGGGAAGAAATGAGAGGGAAGGAGGAAAAGGCAGAGCAGACCTGATAAAATACCTGCTCTATTTTACATCTATCTTTTTGACACCCCGTGAAAATGGTCTGTGCAGAAATCGTAGTTATTTGGGAAAGGAGGAGCAGGAAAAATTCATTAGAACAAAAATTACACACATTGCTACAGTCTGTGCAGAAATATTACCAGAAGAGTAATGCAGCAATGCTGCATTTGGTCTGGTGTGTCATTTGCACAGACTGAAAGTGTCCTGTGGCTGATGCTGGACAGCATTTTGTCCCCTTAACGGAGCTTAGGACTCTTGAAAGAAGATGCGGCTTTAAAAGTGCAAATTCAAATCATTACAATTAGCCATTCATATGCATGAACACTGCAAAGACGAAGTGGGAAAGAGTGGCCGTGGCGAACCCGGGCTAAGTATTTTTTTGCTGGCGTCTGCTGTCAGTCGGTAAAGGTGACACAATTTTTCCTTCATCAAGACAAAAATTGTCCTTTTTCCAGCTGTCTCTTTTTAATCGAGGCAATAAAAAGTGGTTTTATATATATATATACATATTTTTGTTCTAAAATGACACCATTGTATTTTTAAATGAGATAAGTATTTGTGCCAGGCTGGGGACAGCGTCTTCCACTGCTCCAGCCACATCAAAGGCAGGACAAGGGAGCTAGAGACAGGCACTGCAGCCATAAGTGTGAGTTTCCTGGATTTGGGGTGTTTAAATCTGACCATCATTGGGTTTTTTTCCCCTCTGTTTTTTACAAATGTGTTTTTAGAAAAGAAAAATAAACAGGCATTTAAAAAACCCAAACCAAAAAAAATACAAAGAAACAAAAACAGAAAACAAAAAGAAAACCCCCAACCAAATAGCAAAAGAAAGGGCGTTAGGAAAATGTCTAGCAGGCTGTACAAAACACAAAATCAGCTCTGTTTACTGCAGGTATATAAATTGCCTATACTGTCTAAAAAGACTGAAAAATTCTGTGGAGGCACGACCCTGTAGGAGAATGCTAGGACCTTTTAAACATAACCTGGCTTGCCTCTAACAATTAATCACAAATCAAAAAATAGCACCCCATGTCACGACAACTTTCCTGCTGTAGCCTGTCACCTGCTGCTCTCTCAGCAGCACAATACGGGCTGGAAAAGCAACCCAAAAGAGGGAACCCGAAAACGAGGGGAAGGAACAGATTCTGGCAAATCTGGGGGAAAAGTAATAATAATTTTTAAAAGGGACAGGCAAATCTGTCCCTTATACTCGTTTGTGGTGGTGGCGCATAGCCATGAGATGCATGGTCCAATGCCCCACGGCACGAGCACGGACATGCAGCCGGACCCTCGCTGAGCGCTGCTCGCCCCAGTCCTACCTGGCGAGACGGAGGGCGAGGGAGGTCTCCAGAAATCCTCGAACTCGGACACTCTGTCACAGACACTGCCCTCGCAGCTGGGCGCTGACTCGGAGGTGCCATCGGCAGCCTCGGCAAGGTGGGATTCCGGGGAAAAGCGCCCGCGGGAAGGCTCCGGATCGGGCAGGGCGGTGCGGCACAGCTCCGTGTCCTCGGGGATCTTGCAGGGGTCTGCAGGGCAAAGGAGAAGAGGGAACTCCTCAGTGTGGGTCCGTGGTGGGAGCCAGCCACCTCCCGCGCGGCCCGCTCCCGCCAAGGTTTGATGCCCGACTCTCTCCAAGCCCGCGTCAGCCCCTCAGGCGTCCCGCAGGGGCTGCAGAGCGACCGCCCGGTGCCGAGAGCACCGAGGTGATGTCGGGCAGGTGGGCAGTCTCCGAGTGAGGATTCGACAGAGGGACTCCTACCTGCACAGATCTGGGCTAGCACCGTCTCCAGCCGCAGGCTGTAGTCCTCGTCAGCGGAGCGAGGCTGGTGGTAGCTGTGCGCTTTCTTGCTCTTCACTAGGAAGGACCTCGGCATGGTGGGGTGCTGTCACGGCCGGCGCGGCCGCACTCTCTCTCTAAGAGCCGGGCACGGCAGCGGCGGCGAGCGTCACCCCCGAATCTCCTGCGGGGCGGCGGCGGGGAGGCGACCTGCGGAAAGGCGCCGCGCCCGCCGGTGAGGGCCGGGGGCGCCGGCCAGGAGGGGCCGCTCGCCAGGGGCAGCGTGCCAGGTGGCAGCGCGCAGGTGGCTCCGGCCACCGCCCCCGGCCCCGCTCGCCTCGCCCCCTCTTCCAGGAGTGCAGATAACTCAGCCTCCAACCGCCCCCAGCCAACGCCTTTTACCCCCCCTTCCTTCCACCGTGGCCTTGGGGCCGCCCCGGACACGCTCCGACAGCCGCTGCCGGATTGCGGGGAGCAGGCAATAACAGCAGCTGGCACCGTTCTTCGGACGAGCGGGGGCTGAGTGAGCTAGGGGGTGCGGTCGGGTGTTATCCCGTCCCTCCAAGTGGGCACACCGCGCCTCCGTGTTTGCCCCTGCGCCGGCAGCCGCGGCAGAAGCGGTGCCATCCGAAACAGCTTACCACGTCCCACCACCCTGGACGGGCTGGCCGGCGCGGGGTTGTTACCGGGATGGGAGGGGGAGTCGTTACAAACCCGACAGCCCAAACCTGGCGCCTGAGAGGCTGTTGCTGTCGGAGGGACTGATTCACCCATCCCGCGCGAACCACGATAACACGAAAACGAACAAAACGGAATCTCTCCTCCAGCCCGCAGCTGTCGGCGCCGCGCCACCTTGCAGCTGCGAGCACCGAAAGCCGGGGCGGGGAAAGGAGACAAGGTGGGAAATCTCCTGCGGGAGTCGGGGGGGACCGGGTTAAACAAAACTACCCCGAGCCGACTCTTCGGGAGAAGGCCGGAGAGGTTCATTCGAACCCATCCAGCACCGGGCCGCCTCTGCCGTTACACTTGACTTTAATCCACGTTCGTTTGGGGGGATAGGGGACTTCGGAGGGTTGCAAACGGGGAAGAGAGGGAAGAGCCCCAGCCCACCAGCTGGGGCCCAGGAACTGCCCCGCAGGTGGCGGCACTGGCTGCGCCACAAAGCTCCGGCCCGTCCGCGCCCGGCAGGGGCAGGGCTGCTCAGCGCTGCCGGGGAGGCGCCGCCCCCCGGGTGGGAGCGTTGCTGCCCGGACCCACCTGTGCCGGCGTTCATCCTTGAGCAGGGGCTAGCAGCCGGCGGGCCCGCACGGAGGGGGCAGAGAAATCAAAGCGGCCCGATAACGCGTTACCCACCCGCGCCCCGACAGCAACCGCTGCGGCAGCCGTTGGGGGCTCCGGGCTCCGGCGCCTCTCCTGCCGCGTGTTTCCCTCCAAAAGTCACGCCGCGGAGGCGCCGCCGGCTTCCCAAGGCCGAAGCTGGCCAGGCAGGTGCCAGGCCCGTGGGAAGGCAAGTCCCGCAGCCCACCTGGCCGCCGCTCGCCCCGGCTCCCGCTGGCCGCGCCCGCCTGGCGGCCGTCACTGCGGGGGCGCGGGGCCGGCGCCGGACCGCGCGGCTGAGGCAGGGCCGGAGCGGCGAGGGGTCCCAGCCGAGAGGAGAGGGGTCGCTGCCGCCCCAGCCCGCCCGCCGGCAGCTGCCCACGCGAGGCGAGAGAAGCGAGAACGCTTACCCATTTGGAGGGCCGAAGAAAGCTGGGCTGCGGACGGGGTATGCGCGGCAGCCTGCTAATTTGTGTGACTTTAAATTTAGCCTCCCTTTAAGGAGCAATGGTGCTTGAGTTGGCTTTTTTTTTTTTTTAACTTTTCTGTCTCTCTCAACTCCTTCAGAGCTCGGCCCCCTAAACCACAAATTCCACTTCCTGAGCGTTAGTTAGGAGCTTCTGCAAAAAAAAAAAAAAAAAAAAAAGGTTACAAAAAAGCGCCAAAGCCTCACAAATCAGTAGTGTTCCCCGCCTCTGTTTCTCTCTCAGTTTTCCTTAAATGAAAACGTCTTACCGTATTCCACCTCACAGAGCTCTCTGAAGTGACATCGAAGTGTCATTCTGGAATCGGGCGTCTCGTTTCTCTCGGGGTTCTGCTCTAGAAATTACACACATCTATCTGAACTATTCTTGGATCCCCTTCGACTTCCGCAACGAGAACAAGTCACAGATTCAAAACACAGATTGATTCGGGCGGGCAGAGGGCAGGGGCTGGGGCAGCCGGCGCTCGCCCTGCCCGCTCCGCGCCGCATCCCCTTCCCTTGGCCCGGCAGTGGGGGAACACACCGCCCGCCGCCATCGGGCCGTGCATGGCGTTGTTATCGGGGCTAAGGCCGGGCCCTGGGCGCGGAGACCTCTCCTAGGCTTGAAATAACTTGTTGTGGAAAACTCTTCTGGGATAAATACGCCCAACGGCGCTGAAAATACCTTAAGAACCAAACCTAGAGGTTTGCTCATTTCCCTTCGGATTTAGGTAATGGTTAAATATGGAAGGGGTAGGCGAGAGGTGTCGTCCCCCTGTCCCGTCCCCCCCACCCCTCCCGGCTACTGTTGCTTGACAGCGATTCAAACACTAAGCGGAGCGGAGCCAGGCAAAGTGGGGAGAGATTGCCCTCCTCCTCGTCTGCGTGCCGGTGCTCAGGTGCTAACTCGGGGAGGATCCGTGGGGCACCGCGACGAGAACGGTAACGGGATTCGCATCAGGCAGCATCCTGCACCAGTGGGGACCCCTGCGTTGCACAACGGGGAAGCCTGCTCCCTTCTGCAAAAGGAAAAGGGTTCGCCTTGCTGTATGCACACACACGACCCCAAAATACAGTTTCCCAGGTCTGATCTCGGATTCCTAATGCAGCCAGGAAGTCAGGCTTAGGTCTTCGGTATCTTTCTGAGGCTTCGGTATCTTTCTGAGGTTCTGGGCTTCGGTCTTAGACATCTCAGGCCATCAGCAACTTCGTTTCGGTGACAGTAGGGTCGACTAAAGTGCGACACTGCAGTGAACGATTCGAGGCTTAACACCATTTCCCGTTCAGAAACGACAGAAGCAAACTTCAGCTTCCCTCACGCTCAGGAGTATGCTGGCTTTGAGACCAGATGCTTATTTTTCTCCACCAGTCCCGAAGTATTTACAGAAAAATTAGCCACTGGGTGCTTGTGAGCCCCTACGGTTCATAGGACTAGCCCGACTTCCCAAAATCTAGCTAAGCAAGTGACCACCACCTCGAGTAAAACTGTCCAACAGCTGTGTGATGCTTTACTGTGACACAAAAGGAAGCTGAAGAACACGACTGATAGCTTCATTTTTGCCGGAAAGTTCCTGGTGCTGGGCACAGCAGTTTTACTTTTCGCGGTCGCCTTGCTGCCATCAGCCTTAGGTTGATTACTCCGAAGATCATTCACGCCTTCAGCTTCAAGAATCAATGCTGGAATCAGTAGAAACAACGAGATTAGAACAACTGAGTATAATTTCGTGTATGTGTCTCCGTTGACTCACTGTTACTTTTTGCAAAACAATCTTTCTCGTTTGCTTCTGAAATGGATGATAAATTCATGCCCTTTCGTTTACCTTGCTACACATCTCTCTGACTGTGCAATGAAAGCACCAGAACACATTAAATTACTAGTAACGCTCATAAATAATTGTGACCTGCTTACAAGAAAATACACATTCGGCTGTATATATGTAAATTTAAAATGTGTACAGGTGCTGCTGTGGGCTGCAAGGCGTGGTGATCTCCGTTCGGAGGGTATTTGCAGCCTTCCAGGAAGCGGGATGGGCTGCCGGGCGCCGAGTGGCTCCGCTCGGGGCTGTCCTGCGGGAGGCACCCTGCTGAGCCCATTGAGCTCAGCCCACCTGCGGACGGCCCTTTCTCACCTACTGCTTCCTAATCAGGTTAAACCCCTTCAGCAGAAATAAATAAATCAAACGAGTGAACAAAGCAAATGCTAAATCCAGCATATAATCTCTCGTGTGAACGTGGGTGCTGCACGGGCACAGGGAACGCACCTCCGGCTCCTGGGATGTCAGCTTTCTCAAACGATTAGAGGAGAAACGGTACGAAACCGGCTGTGTTTCGTGTTTTGCAAAACTAGTTCGTGCTGAAGCACATCCTCTACCTTCCCGGATCTCGGCTGGACGGGGGATTTGTTTCACGCCTCCGCTGACGAGGGGGAAGCGGGGCGCGGGCGCTGCCCACCGAGCGGTGCCGAGGATGACCCAAGGCTGCCTGCGAAGTTTTGTCTTTAGCCCTGTCACCGGAAGGTGCGCGAGCAGCAGCTTTGCCCGGGACGTGGCGGACTGCGGGTCATGACACGGACCGGCGGTAGCGGGGGCCGTGAGGGCTCGCCCAGCCCGCTCTGCCCGCTCTGCCCCGCGGGGGCCGGGCGCGGCCGCCTCGTGCGCGCGGGCTGCTGCGTCACGTGCCCGCGGGCGGAGGCGCGAAGCCGGCGAGGCGAGAAGGCCTGAGGGGAGCCCTCAGCAGCCTCCCACAGCCATCGTCCCAGGGCTCTGCCCACCCCGAGAGGAGCTGCTATCTGCACTACCAGCACGCCGAGCAGAGGTGAAGGGGTTCAGCTTTTATTCCTGGTTTACGGTATGAACTGTGCCGCAGCTCAGTAAGCTTTGAGATGGTCTTGCCTGTGCAGTGCCGAGCTGTGTGACAGTGCCAAGTGTTCTGTGGTCCAGCGTGGAAAAGCCATACGCCAAGCCCAGAGCTGGCACAGCGATGTAATTAATGGGAAAAGTAAGGCTGGGTTTTAACGAAATTACTCTAATACTTCTCTTAAAGTGAGTGTGATATTCAAAGTTAAACATTAAAACTTTCGTAAGATGCATTTGAATGCAATGGGACATGATTGTTATACCATTGTGACAAGAGACGGGAATAAATAAATAAATAAAAAGAGGGGTTTAAAGTAGGGTGGGATTATGTAATAATCGTGTTTAAGATTGAAGAGCTACTCAGTGTAATTCACTGCACGGTTTACAGTAGCTGCCTGGTGTCAGCATTAGAGCTAAAACAACATCAGATAAAGCACCAAAGGTGTCAAGCTGGAGGTGAGATCTTTGCGTTCAGAAGTGATGAGACACTTTGCAACAGGAGGAAGGATTTAAAGGACAGGATCTGGCAGGTTAGCTGCTTGGTACAGAGGGGAGAAGTGGTTTCCTGAGCCAGGATTGGGAGAAGGCAGCAAAAAGGATGATGCTGTGGGGAATTTATACCCACTTTAAAGTGATAAAAGTTGGGATCACAGTTATGCAGAACGCTTCCACTATGAAAAGCTGCTAGAACTTGTAGCACTGTGCATTCCGTTGGGAAGTGTGTCTTTACCTTTGTAAAACCTTGCTTGTTGTTTTTTTATTCCCAGCATCTTATCACTACCTTCTCTGTGGTCCTCCTTGTGGCATAAACACATACCGTAAATATGTCAGAAATTAATCAGTGATTTTGATTGCAATTTTTTTGATTGCTGGGGAAACCAAAGAAACTTCTGCTGCTCCCAGAGCAGATAAGAAAATGATCACTGTGAGCACAAACTGGAGAAAGTGATGGCAGGCTGTGGTGTTGAAGGCTAGGATGAAAAGAGGGATTCCAGCTTTGGGAAGGAGTGGACCCAGAATGTACCTCCATAGTGAACAGAAACCAGTTGAATCAATAGTTACAGAACTATAGACTATGCAAAATGTTCTCATAGGAATTCTAGTTTTCATAGTGGGGCACCAGAAGTTTTGGTCACTTGTGCAGTACTATGCAATTCAAAGAGTTTACATGCTTTTTCACCTTATGCTTTTAGTATTTATATTGAGCTTTTCCAGCCTGCATGCAAGAGCAAATCTGAGCAAATAGCAATGTTTGTTAGAAGGTAATGAAAGAAAGGTCATGGTGTGTAGCATAATTAGCATGTTTTATTTGTTGACACATTATTATATATATTGTCTATTATGTTAATGATTTGTCATTATTCTGATGTATATTCAAATTATAATATACATAGGCAAAGAGATGAGTGTCATTTGTTTGCCAGAAGACTTGGAGAAAAAGCAGAATGATTCTGAAGAACCTATCCTGGGCTGCCTTTCTAGGACAGCCAGTGTATAACCAAGTCTGAAACGGCAGTGTGTTCAGTGATTCATTTTTATCACTAGAAGAGATGTCAGTTGGATAAGGACTTCTGCATATTTTTATTTATGCTATTATTCAGTATCAGTATTTATTCTATTTGTATAATTTAAAACCACAAAAGTTCAGGAAATAACCCTTGCCATCTAATCTCATTTACTATCACTTCAACCATAAGGCAGTTACTGCAAAATCATAACACTTCACTATTCAAACAGACAGAGTTTTTATGGCCCTCCAACTGAATTTTACTCCTGCCACTTACTACAGAACATTACCTTTAAGAGAGGCTTGCAGCTGGTACTGATGACAGGCAACAAGACATTTGTCACCTATCCTCTTGGGCAACAATGATCCAGGTGCAAACATCAGTTAGCAGATGCTCATTGGAAGGAAAGAAGACAACTGTTACTCATTTGTGAACGGAAGTGCTCCTGATTGGGTTTTGCATACATGACATTTTCAACAGGAATAAGAATCACTCAGCTAATCCAAGTCAGAAGTGGCAATTTCCACAGGCTGTACTTGGAGGTACATATCCACTGGTAGGATGTGGGGAAATTTGGCAGAAATACTGAAACAAGCTAGGAGCTGCAGAAATCAGTAATCTGGAATTTATCACCTATATGCTTAAAGATTTAAATTAGATTGCACCTAGGCAGATAGTTATAAAGATTGTTGAGATGCCCATAATATGCTGTTTCCGTACAGTCCTTATCATTCTTTGAGCATTTATCTCCTAGTCATGCTGTTTCTTTCTTAAAACACATTCAAAATAAAGGGAAAGGAAATGCCTAATAGGACCAGCAGGTGCATTCAGCAGAACACTTCCACACTTTTTCTGCAATTTTAAACAACTACACTGCTTCTTGTGGGTAGCAAGCCAGTTAACATACACACTGCTTATCAGTACCAAACTTCTGCATCACTACTTTTTATTTAATAGAACAGTTGTAAACATTACTAAAGAAGTCTTAAGGATTGCCTAATTACATAAGACGGCAATAACAGAACATTCTTGACTCTAGAATGTGTCTGCAAGTGCACATAAATGTTCATATGACAACAGTAGGATATCTTGTTCTGTTCAAGAAGCTCAGGCTGTTTGACCAGATCTCAGTTTTCAGGAGCCTGGAAGCAGATTGCTCAGCTCAGCTCTTACTGCTTTGCTCAATCACAACTATTTGGTGGTGGCACCAATTGTTTATTTCCTAAATAGCTCTGTAATATAAACTCTAAGAGGACTGAACGTATTTCCACTGCTCTGTGTATTTATTAAAACTAAGACATGAATAATTCTTCACCTTATTTGAACCTAGCTAGAGCCTATGCAAGTAACTATGTGGTAACCAAGGACTATAGCTTGGACAGGACTAAACAGTAAATGCTGCAACCTTGTTAAATCATGAAAAATTTATTTTCATTACATATACATGAAGGTAAAAGATTTCAGTCAATAGTGTTTTGAACAAGCATTTCTGACATGAGCCTGTTAGTGTAGCTAGGCTGAAACTTAATGCAAAGTTAGTGTTTTGCCTTTATTTAGTAATTCACTTTTAGTGTGTATATACAGAATTCATTTTCCTGTTAGAATACCAGAGACAGTAATATCGCAACATTTACATTCCTCATATAAAATGGAGTAATGTACATTTTCAGCTTGGTGTAGATACATAAATATGTACAAAATAAACATTATTGTAATTAACATATTCAGACCATTTATTATTTAGCAACATCAAAAGCAGATGCACATAGATTTAAGTGAAAATGGTGAAAAACACCTTTATGACATTAGTGACCATTATTTGCATATATGAAGTAGTACAGATAAAGGCTTGCCTTTCAAGCCTTCTGTGGGCATCCAATAACTTTAGTAAAAAACCAAAACTAATTGAGAAGCATAAGATAATTATATATATATGTGTGTCATGATCAGATGGTTTACTAGGGTCCATCTTGATCACAAAAGGATAACAATGTAAAACATACACATTTGTTCAGAGCATAAAATATTGCACAAAAGCAATTTCTTTTGAGGAAAATAATTCCTGTGTTTGTGAACAGCAAAACTGCTTCTTACACATTAAAGAAATAATATATTTGCAGTTTCTAAACCAAAGAACATTCAGTAATACTGTCAAAACTGTCATCCATCAACTTCTTCCCAGCCTGTTTTATGGCAATGGTATGTCATTAGCAAGATTTGGCAAAGAGAGAAGGCAGATAGACAGTACTTGTATATATTTATCACAGGCCAGACCAATCCAATAGTTACCTAAACCAACTGCTGGATGGTTTCAGTTCCCTCAAAATTTCAGCCTTAAAGAAATATGGAAGTCTTCAGTGCTAGTCACAGTGATAATCACACAGTAGTAGAGTAAGATTCTGTTCTTCTCTGCTTGGAAACCATCTTGTCTGAATTTCCAGTCTGAAGGGCACTTTCCTCAGTATCACTGTCACTGCTGTCTACGAGTGTGTGATCCAAAGATATCTGACCAGTCCTCCTGGGAAGATGAAAGTTCACCCCACTCTCCTGTATGGAGTTAGTTAGAAAATCTTCATCAGAAGAATGAAATGATTCATCATCTCCTGTGAAATGGTTGACAATGTGAATCCCATCAAAAGTGGGTTGGTCTGAGAAGCTTCTCTGGCCTTTTAGACATTTGATCTGTTAGAAAAAGTGGAAGTTGACAGTTAAAATCACAGCTCAAGAGTCCAGCAATAAAAAACCCAAACAACAAAAACCAAACAAAAAAAACAAGCGTATTATCAAGAAATGCCTCATTGAACTCTTACTGGATAAAATGAAAGACCAGGAAGTAGCACATTTGATGATCACTTCAAGTATTACAGTTCTAAGGCTTAATAATCAAGGTACCTAGAATCAGTAATGAGAGATTCTGCTTTTACTGCATCTTTAATATCCCCACAAGGATGGCTTCTGTCTTCTAGAGTGGCCTATTTGTTTCAACAGCACTTTTGGCCTTGACATTTTACTTTATAGCTCCATTCTTCCTCATATTGCCTGATTTCTCACTTGAGAAAGCACCCCCCGTTCAATGAACATAGGAAGAGCATGGTTTGAAGAATGCGTGGGTTGAGCTCTGAAGGAAAGCCAGTTCAGGTAGGTTTAGTCTGATTGTAACTATTATTAGTCCTAGTTGGCTCCCAAGTAAATATTGCCAGCTTCTCAGAGTCACAGAAAAAAATCCCCAAGAGGATGTTTAGTTCAGTCTACATTGTAACATTAAGTATCTTAATTATCTAATTCAGATCCTATGAGATTTCACATCAAATACTAGGAGAGAAACATCTCTGTACAGCATAAAGAGATTGTAGTTGCAATTTTAAGTGAATGTCAAACAAGACAGAAATTGTTACCTGACCACAGACAGAAAATATTTTAATTCAATGTGCTGCAGAGTGATACACAATTTCAACCATGCATTCAAACTACTCAAAACTAAGACCCAAAGCACTAAAGTTTGGCAAGTCTCCTATTAATTTGATGAAAAATAACTGCAACTCATGGAAGACATTCTGGAGGTTGGTTGTTTTTGTGGTGTTTTGGTTTGTTTGATCTAGAATTTAATTTTTGTTAGCTTTTAGTAGAAGATACCTCAGGAGCAGTTTGACAGTCTGCAATATTAAGATAAAAAATCCTGAGGATGCAGATAAATATTAAAAATGGATTATAGAGCCTTCCTGATGTCACTCTAAAAGCTTAAAAGATGCACCTAGTGCTAATTTGGAAGCAGCTTTTTACAGTAAGAGACCTGGAGAATAGAAGGAATAAAATGCTGAAGCGTTTCTTTACCAAAATCTGTTTGATGTTTCAGAAATCTGAGGCAATATTCACTTTGATAAGTAAGAAGTGCTTGTATGTTCTTGGTATTGACACCAATAGGAGATTTTTACCTGTCCGTTTGGGGAAGAAGGCATCTCTGTACTTACCATGAGCTTGTGCAGAAGATGAGAATAAAAAAGGAGTTGAAAAAAGATCACAAGAGTCATAATCATGCTAGAAGCCATTAAATTGCATGTTAGCACGTAAAAACTCCAACTTTTGATGTTATAGTAAAAAATCCCTGTTAGGAATATGGGAACATGATGTAGATCTAAACCTTTGTGGTTACTCTGCATCCCAACATTAGTTTTTTGCATTTTCTTCACATACACATAGGCTGCTGTTGTTTCATGAGGACTTTATACAAAGACAAGAAAAACAGAGCTCCACACTTGTACAGCATAACTCATGATACAAGCAAAAACAGCTTATATCAAATATAAATATATCTGGAATAGATAATTTTTACTAGCTTATATATCTAGATGTAGAAAGCCTGGTACAGAAATTCTTGTGTTATTTAGAACTATTATTCCTGAAAATATCCTGCAATATGATCAGATTAGCTACCCCATGAATTTTCCAAAACAGCTATCAATTTTAGTCACTAGGAAAATAAAACACAGAAACCCAACAATTTCTCTCCACCCTTACCACAGGAAAAAAAAGAACTGCTGTACAAGTGACTACGAACTTCATATTAGAGTAAGAAATTATATGCTTTTAGGTCTGTACAGTTAAGCCATTGGTTCACCTGAAATTATAAAGCTGATACTCAATGTTAGTTGTTTGGAACACTCAGCCAAGCCAATGACCTCAACTGTTTTTGTGAAAACTTAAACATGATACCTTTAGATGAAGTTATTTAGGTAACATGACAAAATCATGGTTTCACAGTTTTAGGCAGCAACTGTTCCAAATGGGAGTCTGTGGAAAATGCTGTTGGTGAAGATAATCATCAATAGACACAGCCTTTGCCAGTTCCTAAAGGGAGTCTCAGAAAACACTGTGTTATCTTTGTGCATCCTTTAGTTAGAATAACAAATCTCTGACTTTCCAGAAACACTTTTGATCTGCAGCTTTACACTTGGCTGCCTTTTTTCTTAAGCACTCCTCGCATGTAAGGGGAAACAGACCACTGTGAAGAAATATAACACACTGCAGAGAACACACACTACACAGTTATCAATGGTCACAGAGCTCCAGAATTTGTCTGCTTCAGAAATGGCCACCTCAGCCAGAACACTGTGGCACAGACCTTGTTTGTATTAGAAGAATCAACAGGCTGGAGAGCAGCACTGCTGAAGAGGACACTGGGATCCTGACACAAGGAAGGCTAACTCAAACCCACAGCATCCCTGGGCAGTGAGGAAGGTAACAGCATGCTACGCTGCACTGACAGCGGCAAGTGTACTTTCATAGTTGAAAATTGTTCAGGGCCCCTTCAACCTACTATTTGTTCAGGAGCATTTCTGAAGGAGCTTGATTATTTGGAATTTTTACTGCAGCAGGAAGGCTTTGAATGGCTTCTCATAGTATTTGAAACAACTTGCAGACAGCCTGCACTCCAATGCAATTAAATACAGGCAGATAATGCAGCATAAAGCTCTACAATTGAAGTTTCCTGAAGTTAAGTTTTGTACTCTCATATAATTTTACAGTCTAGCAAGTGAGGCTCTACACTTCTAAAAGAAAAAGCAGTATCTTCTTTCAAGGGAGGAACTTGACTGTACTATTGGCTCAGGGCAATGGTCCCTCAGCCTAATATGGTGTCTCCAACATTGACAACAGGACGTTCATATTACCAAGCCTCCATTCACTTGGCCAGAAGCTGGTGTAGCAAATAGGAGTGAAATCCTTTTCTAGCTGCTTCGGCATACGTTTATAGATCAGCTGTCCCTGACTGATCATAAATTTGCTGTCTACCTCCACATCTCCTGTGGCAGCAAATTCCAGAAATTCCTTTATTTGTTTTAAATTAATCTACTTGTTTTAGTAAGTGCCCCCAGATTCTAATAATGCAGGAACAAGTGGTGAAAAGCAGTTCTGTGGTCATTATTCTGAAACTTTAATCATAGTACCTTCTTCAGTTTTCTCTCTAGAGCAGATGACTTCCAATCCATTTTAGCCTCTCATAAACAGCTGTTAACCAAGACAACCATCACTCAGTTCCCTTTAACTTTCCTACAGACCTTCTTTAAATTCTCTACATCCATCTAGATACCAAGTGGCAATAGAACTCCCTTTATTTGGTTTTTAATATACTTCCTATAATGCCCAATGTTGGTTTGGCTGGTGCTGCATGCTAAGCCAGTGTCGGAGGACTCAATACCAACCGAAAACATCTTTCCTGATTTGTAACTACCAATTCTATGTTTGCCATTGTGTAGGCATGGCTTAGATTTTGCAATAGGTGAAAAACCACTTTATTCACACTGAAATTAATTTGTCAGCTTTTTAAGACAGACTTAGGATTCTTGTTGTCAGTGTCTTATTTGAACATGGGAAAAGAGCTTAAGGTAGGAACTGAAGCATTAGGCCACGATCTTGCCATTCACCTAGCTAAGCATATTGAGACAATGGGAAATCCAGCTAAGAGCCTGGAATGCAGGATGTGTGGACCCAACCCAAACACTCCCCCCATACCCTAGTTCTACTCTATCCTTATCCCTGAAGGAACTACAACCATGTTGAGCAAAGTACAGACTTGCACCCCAGGGTCTCTTAGTTTCTCTTCTCTTTTACACAGTCGATATTGGTTAAAGGCTTTCAGTTTTGGGTCTGGCCTTCCTTCATGTGAAGGGAACTTGATCTCTGTCACTCCAACAAGTAACATTTAAAGGAACCTGTTTTTTACTGCTTCAGTTTGCAAGAATCTCAAATCTGATCTCTAAAGAAAAAAAAAAACAAAACAACAACAACCAATAAAAGAACCATGTCTTAAATCCAGGTCATATTGTCTAGATGACTGCAACTTCAACCCAGTTAGTTTTTACAACACATTTACATGGTCTTTAGGACATTTCAAAGGGTTAATAACATTATGTGATCAAAATATATGTCATCATTATTCCTTCAAAAGCCAGCTGAATCAACAACAAAATCTTAATAACGTGCACATTTATATATTTTCTTGTGTCTAAAGAATTCAGCATTTTAAAGACAAACTGTTATGTCTACTGGTCAGTGTATGAAAAACCTGTACATACTCTTAAGAGGTAACAGTGTACTTCCACAAATATAGAAGAGCTGAAAAAAGGCTAACAATCAGATCCTTGAACCTTAAAATAAACTTTCTTACCTGATGCTGACTGCCTCATCAAGCCAGGCATGAAGGAGAAACAGTAAAGAGAAATTTAGAAGTTTTAAACAATTCAAAAGATGTTCCATATTAAATCATAGAATCAAGTTTGAAGGGTGATAGTCAGTTGCAAGCAAGTTATATTTCTAAGTCCCTCTGGGTTTTTTGAGTAGGGAACATAGGCTAAACTTTCAAGTAGGACTTTGTGAAACAGTTTGACTTAAGCTCTGGGAGACATTTTTATGTTGTAACCTGTGAGGTTTTAAGCTAGGAGTTCAGTGGTGAAAAGTGGAACTAAAACGCTACTGTCTGCTCCCTTTAAAAGGTTTCAATCAGTAATTAATTCCTGAAATTTACTCAATTCCAAAGTAGTAAAGACAGGTTTTAACAAAGCTTGCCAATAAGTATTAAATGTAGTCACAGTAAGATAACCAAGAAATACACAAGTGAGATGGAAATGTGACCATTGCCTTGGGTGAATAAAAATGGTTTTGGCAGAAGGCAGTATAGAAATTTAAAT